CATTTATTATACTTTAAGTTCTGGGGTACACGTTCAGATTGTGCAGTTTTGTTACATAGGTAAACACATGCCATGGTGCTGGTTTGCTGCATCCATCACTCTGTCATCTACATTAGGTATTTCTTCTAATGCTATCCTTCCCCAATCCACCCACTCCCTGCTATTCCTCTCCTAGCTCCTGATCTCCCAGGCCCCAGTGTGTGATGTTCCCCTCCCTGTGCCTGTGTGTTCTCATTGTTCAACACCCACTTATGAGTGAGAACATGTGGTGTTTGGTTTTCTGTTCTTGTGTCAGTTCTCAGCAGAGAATGATGGTTACAAGTTTCATCCATGTCCCTGCAAAGGACATGAACTCATCGTTTTTTATGGCTGTGTAGTATTCCACGGTATATATGTGCCATATTTTCTTTATCCAATCTATCACTGATGGACATTTGGGTTGGTTCCAAGTCTTTGCTATTGTGAACAGTACCACAATAAACATATGTGTGCATGCAACTTTATAACAGAATGATTTATAATCCTTTGGTTATATACGCAGTAATGAGATTACTGGGTCAAATGGTATTTCTAGCTCTAGATCCTTGAGGAATCACCGCACTGTCTTCCACAATAGTTGAACTAATTTACACTCCCACTAGCAGTGTAAAAGCATTCCTATTTCTCTACATCCTCTCCAGCATCTGTTGTCTCCTGATTTTTTAATGATCACCATTCTAACTGACCAGAGGTGGTATCTCAATGTGGTTTTGATTTGCATTTCTCTAATGACCAGTGATGATGAGCTTTTTTTCTAATGTTTGTTGGCTGGATAAATGCCTTCTTTGGAAAAGTGTCTGTTCATATCCTTTGCCCACTTTTTGATGGTGTTGTTTTTTTCTTGTGAATTTGTTTAAGTTCTCCATACATTCTGGATATTAGCCCTTTGATGGGTAGATTGCAAAAATTTTTTCCCATTCTGTTGGTTGCTGGTTCACTCTATTGATAGTTTCTTTTGCTGTGCAGAAGCTTTTACATTTAATTAGATCCCATATGTCTATTTTGGCTTTTGTTGCCATTACTTTTGGTGTTTTAGTCATAAAGCCCTTGCCCATGTCTATGTCCTGGATGGTATTGCCTAGGTTTTCCTCTAGAGTTTTTATGGTGTTAGGCCTCATGTTTAACTCATTAATCCAGCTAGAGTTAATTTTTATATAAGTTGTAAGGAAGGGATCCAGTTTCAGCTTTTTGCACATGGCTAGCCGGTTTTCCCAATACCGTTTATTAAATAGGGAATACTTTTCTCATTGCTTGTTTTTGTCAGGTTTGTCAAAAATCAGATGGTTGTAGTTGTGTGGCATTCCTTCTGAGGCCTCTGTTCTGTTCCATTGGTCTGTATCTCTGTTTTGTACAAGTACCATGCTGTTTTGATTATAGTAGGCTTGTAATAGTTTGAAGTCAGGCAGTGTTGATGCCTCCAGCTTTTCTTTTCTTTCTTTCTTTCTTTTTTTTTTTTTTTTTTTGCTTAAGATAAATGGTTCCAGGTTTTTGGGTTATACAACTACCGAGAGGACGGGAGAATATTTACATCTCAAAAAGGCAAAGAGAAAATTTATAATTGAAAGTGTTCTAAAGTGAATATTGTGCTAAGAAAAGAGAGGTCAGAGGCCTGTCTAAAGTTTAGGAAAACTGAGGATAATGTTAAGGCTCTCTTGCTGTTGGTTAAGGACCTTAAATTCAATGACAGTATCCCTTAAAACATTTCTTTATACTATTAAAACAATTGAACTCATGGACATCAGAGTAGAAAGATTATTACTAGGGCTGGAAGGATAGTGGTGGGGGGGAAGGTAGGAATTGTTAATGAATATGACCTACTATTTGACAGCACAACCGGGTGACTATAGTAAACAGTAACTTCATTGTACATTTAAAAATAACTTAAAAAGTATATTTTTATAACCTGAAGGATAAATGCTGCAGGGGATGTATAACCCATTCTCCATGATATGACTATTATGCATTGCATGCCTGTATCAAAACACCTCATATACTTTATAAATATATACACCTACTGTGTACCCACAAAAATTAAAAATAAGAAAGTCGAATGTCATTATAAGAAACAGAAAGGTAAAGGACACATAGGGTCATAGAAGGAAAAGGCCATGGAGAGATAGAGAAAGAGATAGTAGTGAAGTGTCTACAAGCCTAGGAATACCAAAGACCCAACAGTCACTAGAAGCTAAGAGTGGCAAAGAATAAATTTTCCCCCAAAACTTCTGGAGTATCCAAGGCTACTAACACTGATATAGCATTTGTAGCCTCCAGAACTACGAGAGAATGAATTTCTGTTTATCTAAGCCTTCTAGTTTGTGGTAATTTGTTAAAGTAGCCCTAAAAAAATAGTATACGATCTTTCTTGAAAAGTCTCTCTCTACTGTTCATTTAACTTCAAATGTCAAAATTCTACATCTCATTTAATGCTGACAAAATTGTCTAGTCCTCCATTCCTTTTTCTTATAATTGATAATACCAGCTAAACACCACAGCTTTTTCCTCTGAATTCTTTTGACAATGGAGATGATAACAATATTGCAGCTAAAACTTGTTTAGTGTTTGATTTATGTCTAATCCCTCTTTATTCCTTGTGAAAACATAATAAGGCAGGTGCTATTATTTTTTCAATATTAAGGATGAAGAAACTGAAGAACAGAGGGATTTAATAATGCTAAGTTGTAGAACCAAAATTTGCTTTGAGATTTGCCTAAGTAGAGAGTCCATATGCTTAGATATTTTACTATTTTTTTTCTGTTCCTATCCTTGAATGTTTACTTCTCTCATGTCTCATGTTATCTTTCATTATATTCTCTATACATTTTTATTTTCTAGCACAAAATTAAACTGAGGTAACTAAGAAATTACATATGTATAAGCATATTCATTTATTTTTCCCATTTTAAAGGTCTTTCGATATTATGTTGTCTACATTTTTTTTTAAATTTAAACACTTCTTGTTCAAGAAAAAACTTTAGGCAATTTGCTTGAATACTTTTAACCTTAAAATCATTTTAAGATTCTGTTTTATTTATCTATTTACAGCATTTGGCAGATTTCTTTGAGTATCAAAACTTCCCCAATTCCACTGAATGAATTTAGTTAAACCAACTGTCAGCCCCTACATCCAATTTTACACCTTTCTAGGATCGTATTTTCCTTTAATACAGTACTTTAATAGAATGGCTAGAGGCCCTATTCTGCATGCATTAAGAAGCTCAGTGCTTTTCTGCCACAGAATGTTTCTGACTATTATTAACTTAGGAGAGGGCTCCATTTTCCATGCTTGCCTGTCACTTCCATTGTTTTTTTTTGAACTCCTGCCATCAACTCTACTCTCAACGTGTCTCCTGAGATGCCCTCCATTTGCTATACTGGATATTACTCCACTAACACAAGAGTGTTATATGGTAGACTCATTGATGACTTGGAAAATAAAGGGTATTAAAGCATATCATAGTTTTCATTTACTCATTTAATCATTCAGCAAACACACAAACATTCATTGACTATCTAGTGCCACTGTGTTTGGCACTGAGGAAACAATGGTAAGAAAATGGGCAAAATCTCCATGATCATGTAGCTCATACTCTAGCAGGAAATCATAAAACTCACACAGCCACATGATAAATGTAAAATTACAAATTGAAGTATTAGGAAAGGAAATGTTCAGGGTAGATTGATAGCCATGGTAATGGGCATGAACTGAGAGCTGAAGTGTGAGTAGGCATTAACCAGTCCCACAGCAGGGACAGAGGAAGAAGAAAGGCATTAGAGAAAGAAATGACAGCATGTGAAAACAAGCAACATGCATTGCTGGAACAACATACATTCCAGCAACTGCAAGAAAGCCTCTGCATTAAGGATGCATAGACCCAAGCAAATAAAGGAAAGAAAGATACCTGGAGAAACCAGCCGAAACCACTTTAGCAAATGCACAGTCTACTTGAAGCTTTCCTTAAAAATGTAATCTTAATCTTAAAGCTAATGGAAAAATAATGAAGAGTTTGATGTAGGAGATTGACATGATCCACTATATATTTTGAAAAAAATTATGGCTATTGTATAGAGACAAGAGTAAAGTGGGTAAGGAATGGTAGATGCGGGAATTCTGAACATGAAGCCTTCGTCCAGGTGAGAGATTATGGTGGCTCGGCCTAGGGAAGTGATGGTGGAGATGAAGGTAATTGGGAAGGTTTGAGAAGATCTTAGTGCAGTGTGGACCAACAGAACCTGATGAAATAAGTGTATCAAGAATGTAGTACACTGGAATGGAAAAGGCAGAAGCCAGAAAAAATGAGTTCCAGTCTTAGAAATTGACTAGATTTTTTTGGATATGAAAATTTCTCACTGGCTGCCTCTTTTTAGGCTCTTCCCAAAGACTTTCTCCTTTACACCCACTTTCCCACCCTCAAAACCACCTTCTATCACCGTCTTATTACTTTACATATTCCTGGACTCACACAGTTTCTTCATAATAACTTTAATAATACAATAATTATGTGGATAAGTTAACACTAAGTCTTCCTTAGTTTGAAGCCCAGCTTTGTTCTGCTAACAATTTCTTTGAGTTATGCTAGTATGTCTACCATAATTCCACCCTTAGTAATAAAAAGACTTTTGAAATGTATTGAAATCACATCATTTCTCATCATATCTTAGAGCAAATCTTTATGCTTAGGTTTCCACTAGAACTTCCAGGGTTGTGGAGCTGTGTCTGGGGTTGGGCACTTTGATTATCCTATACGTCATGTCCTACCCTCAAAATTATCACTTTTACTGACCCAAGATGGCTTACAAAACCTAAAAGCTGACATACTGTAGTCTACACAAAGTAAATACTTCGTGTTAACAATGAAGAATCAAAATGCCTAGTAATAAATTATGACTTACAATTCTGTCTATTTCTGGGGAATAGGAATAGCTATACCTAATATTGGATTTGTTCTTATGCTCTTTTGAAGGAAACATCCTACTGTATCGGACATTCCCATGGTACCACGTCCAGATTTCTTCACCAAGGCAGATAAAGAGTTGGCAAAAATCATTGACCATCACGTAAGACTGATTTTTTTTTTTTTAACTAGCAGCAAAAGCTTTGTTCCTTTAAAGGCACTTTAAATTATAATATGCAGTTCTGAGACTGAAACCTTAATATGTGGAATTTAAAAGTAGAGCCATGATTGGTTTGCCAAACTGAATCATATCTCACTATGTTATCTATACACCTTAGTGTCTTCATTGGGTTACAGAAAATTTGGCCTTCTGTCATTTGTAAAATACTAGCTTAATCCTGTTTTCTGAATTAGTACTGATTTATTGTGACAAGAGTCTTATATTGAACACTGAACACTGATTTCTTCTGCAGTGTAGTTCTAATAACAGAACAGAAATCTTTTGGCTCAATTTTCAGTGACCGTTCTTTACCCTTGACAGATCAGAAAGACTGTTAATCACTTTGTTCTTAGCATAAGTAAAAAAAAAAAAGCAGTGGCAATACAAGGCCATTCACAGAAGACACTTTAATTCATTGTGCTATATTTAGTTGATAATTTTTTACCAAATACAAGTTATTTTATGTCTAGTTCTTTTTAGGAGCAGAATTGAAGTATGAAAGAAAATATTTTTTGTTTTCTTTAAATAAACTACATAATGTTTTTAAATAAACTATATACCATTATGTGCTTAATTTTATTACTAGTAGTTTAATATTATCTATCAGATTGTGATTAAATTAATAATTTTTTCACATTACCTTTAAGTAGTAATCTTGTGAAAAGATTATTTTATTTACTGATCACATTAAATAGTTTTTACCACATAGCTAGTAATTAAGCCACTCTAGCAATAGCTATAAGTATTGGGTTTTGGAGACTGACTGATACCTTGAAATCACAAAGTGAGAGCTGCAATATTCACTAACAAAATTTTGAGAAACTAATATATGTGTAGGAAATCTTCAAAAATTTCAAATGTTTTATAAATTTCAACATCTATATTTTCTTAGTCATTAAGTCAACTAAGTAACGTAGAAGGCACTGTAAGAGATAGCAACTTGCCAACATCACACACACACACACACACACGCACACACACACACACACACACACATAACTACTTTGGGCTGTATAGGGCTAAAGAGACAGAGGAAAGTATTATGAATAACGGAGATACAGAGATACAGCCTAACAGCCATCCATTCTCTTTTCCTTTTACTAAGGGTATAAGCATTATCCAAGTAATCACTGCCATGGGCCTGCTTATATTGTAGCTAAAGAAAGATAAAGAAATCCTTTTTGAAAATATGCTTGAAAACTTATAGATCCAAATTGTTTGATGTGTGGCTAGCTTAATGAACTAGTACTTCATAGTATTGATTTTGGAAGGTTTATTGAAGTATCTCTGAATATTACATTTTTTTCAGTATTCATGTATATACCACTGCTTTTCAGATGGGCATAGCAATAGTGCTTTGTACTTATATTTTATGCTTTGCAAAATGCTCTTACATTAGTTAGTTTAGTCCTCACAACCCTATATAACATTTACCAATAAGAAAAACAAACACTTGTTTACAATTCAGTTACTTGCTCAATGTTTTAAGTAAATGATGGAGTCTATGCACAAAAACAGATTTCCCTACTCTAAATCTAGTTTCCCTTCTACTTTTTCATAGCTGTTCAAGTTCTTGGCTCATAACTCCTAATCAAAATTAGAGGTGGGAGGGTGGGATATTGACAAAGAAGAACAAAAGCACATTTCCTCAGCTACAGATATTAATTCTCCTTCTAATCCAACATACTTTTGTTGAGAGGTTATCATATGTAGGAAATAGAAAATATACATTCTTGCTCAGGAGATATTAAGGTACCTTATACATTGCTAGTATTCCGTAGCATGATCATTGAATCACTGAGTAAGTTGAATAAATAAGTAAATGGTGCTTCCATTTCCCATCAATTTCAAACATATTTTTTTTCATCCTCCTAGCTACCACAACAGACAATAATAATGGCAGATAAGGTCAAGAAAATACAATTATTTACTCAAATTGAACTGTTGTCATGGTCAGCAGAGACAAAAAGAAAGTATGCTTTTTCCTAAGCCTAATGGAAAGAAGGATTTTGACATTATGGTGAATTTTAGCCATTCCAAATTCTAAGAAGAGGGAGAGGGGGAAAAGCTGTCTTCTGGACAGTGATGATAATATGCCCCTTTTTGGCTGCTTTTATATGTATCGATACTTTTATACATGCTGTTTGTGAAACCAAGAATTCTATTTTACTGGCAGTTCTTAAGAATTAATTCTCTTTTGATTTTTCAGAATTTAAGAAACAAAATCATGAGACCCATTGAAATCTTTCTTTTTTCTTTTTTTTTTCAACTAATGTAACTTTTATTATGAAAAAATTTCAAACAGATACAAACGAAGACAATGGTATAATCACCAACTCACCTCTCCCACGTACCAATGACCTAGATTAAATAGATATGCACATTTTATACAGGATAGATTAGTTCTCTTTGTTTATGGATACTGTCATTGTTATACCAACTATAACTTCTATGCTAACAAAATTGATAATTTTCTTAAAATAGATTATTTAGTTTGTTATATGAGAAAAATAATGTGTCATAGTTGAGTATCATAGAACTTGTAGACAAAACCATAGCATGAATTTCAGCCTGTGCCTGAATGTTCTGGGGGTTTTGCCTTAAATTTCCATATATTTTATGCAAAACTGGTTCCTGAGAAACCAAACATATGAGTAACAACTGTGTATAAATACAATCTTAAGATAAGTCCAGTACTTTTGTATTTCTTATGTAATTAAGACTTAACTGGGAATAAATAATGGATTTGATATTGTGCTTTTATTTGTCATGTTGACTCTAATATGAATATATTAACATTTTACAAAATTTTACTGTGTTCGTCAAAGCTGAGTGACATGCTGTGGACTCTGATGCTTAGCTCCGCTTTTTATTATATGAATATCCCATATGACAAATGTTATTTGTGATTCACAGTACTGGTATGTATAGTAATCTATAAATTAATTGATAGGTTGCTAATCTCAGACTGATCATTTGTGTATATGCATGAGCTGAAAGTGACAAAAACACAGCATTGGCGGTCTTTGGAAAAGACTGAATTGGCAGTCAATATTGGAAAATCCTTAGAATTTTCAATATTTCATACCAGGAGTCATTCTGCCCCAAATATTTTACCCAGCATAAAGTGTTTACTACCTGTTTGTATCATTTCCTCCATCAAATATATTAGAAGTATATATTTTTTTCATAATGATGTTTGACTGATTATTATTATTTACAATACTGTGACTCATTCTTAGGGCTCTTGCCTTCAGATATACTACTATTTACATGACAGCATGGGTTATAAAGTGAAAAAGCTAAGTGCAAGCAAAATAGAAAGAAAAATGATCTTGGCCAATAAGATACATTCTTTAGAGGTGTTTTTATTGGTCTTCTGCATAGTCTACATTTACCTAATAATTTCATTTTCAGCTTCATATGGAATAGTATTAGAGTTTTTGCCTTTCTCTTTAGTTTGTATTTTCTGTATTTTTCTGTTTTGCTTTCATTTGGTACTTCATTATATAACCCATACTGTCATATAAATACCAATATTGATGAAGAAAGTAAAACTATTTGGAATGTAGAAATATAAAACCTATAATGTCTTATTTTGAATGCTTTTATAATCTTTAAATATATTAAGGAAGTTCTATTTTGTGGGACTTACATGCATTCTAATAGGTGACACATATGTTTTACCAGTGAGATAGATAAAAATTTTTTGAGGAATGTCATGGAAAAAAACAAAGAGGATAATTGTATGTAAGAATCTGCATTTTCAGCAGCTACATTGATATGCATTTTTTCATGGAAAATCATATGTGGATGACGTTTTCTCTCTGTAACAGTGGCAGGAAAAGCTAAAGATCCAAAAAGAAGAAGATGCAATATGCAAGGCCCAAGAGCTTGAAGATAAGAAGTTAGAAGAGAAAATTCACTTTCAAGAAATTATGAAGAAAAGAGAAGATAAACTACATAAGCAAACCAAGCCCTATGAGCTTTCTCATAGAAGTAACTTAATTAGAAAAGAAAGTGCCACCCCCCAAAACTGAGGTCAGAAATACATAGCATGAAAAATATCAAGATAGCTGCATAGTAAGAGAACTTTCTTGTGATGAACTTGAGGTATTGTACAGAAGAACTTGTTATCCTGTACAAACTGTTTAATAGTTATTTCTTAGTTCTAAATTAATGACCAACTTAATCACACGTGAATAAAGTGATTTCACTAGCCAAAACTTTCCAATACTACATCTAGTATTTTTCTCAATTGACATTTATCTCATGGTACAGCACATGTAATAACTGATTCTCAGAATGCTGATATTCATCAAACAGTTTGATGGAAATTAACAAGTTAATTAATAAGTCACCATATAAGAATTATTTCTTGAAAACAGAATGAACATAAGCTAACACTTCTATAATTACTATTATTCAAATAAAAACATTATGGCATCTTATGTGATTGTCATTTTATAGTCAATTTATTCCAAACCAAACAAACCCTATTTCAGAGATTTGAATACAGAAGGGCCAGTCATTTTAGATTGTCTTTATCTTAACAGATGCCAGAGGGGACTCCTGAGAGACAGTGGTTTTACCATGTTCTGTGAGTTTATAAGAATAAATCTGTATGATCCTAGAAAGTCCAGGAGCAACTGTTGAAGAGATTCATACAAATAGGAGTCATTTTAGAAATGGAACTCACCTCATCTGAAGTTCTGAACCTATGAGTAAGAGTAATAGGGTGGAGTTTTTATGATGTCTTGTATTCCTTTCCTGAAAAATACAAATAATATTCACACCTCAGTTTCACACAGGTGACTTGGTGATACTCAAGAGACAAGAACTTTAACAGGGGTGTCAAATTCAAACGACTACCAAGTCAGAAAGGTAACAAATTAGTGAAGCCAGCTAAGGAATACCTATCCCATCTAAAGAAATTTCCCGGCTGGGCACGGTGGCTCACACTTGTAATCCCAGCACTTTGGGAGGCTGAGGAGGGCAGAGACTAACCTGACCAAAATGGAGAAACCACGTCTCTACTAAGAAAAAGTACAAATTTAGTTGGGCGTGATAGTGCATGCCTGTAATCTCAGCTACTCAGGAGGCTCAGGCAGGAGAACTGTTTGAACCTGGGAGGTGGAGGTTGTGGTGAGCCGAGATCGAGCCACTGCACTCAGTCTGGGCAACAAGAATGAAACTCTGTCTCAAAAAGAAAAGAAAAGAAATTTCCCACCACTCAGTTACATTCTAAAATGTGTATCAGTATTGTACAATCATCCAGTCTTTCAAGAAGCTTTTAAATGGGACTATTTTTCAAAATAAAAGTAGCTAAGTACCCAAATGTTGGCAACTAATTTTTTAATAACATATTTTCAAGTTAAGTTCGATGCATGGGCCAAAGTATGTGGCCTATATTATGTGAATTCAGGTATCAGTCTTCGTTTAAGGTAACAGTCACATATGGCAGAAAAATCTTGTGTGTAGGTTCCTATTTTGATTCCCTATATAGCTAATTCAAACTTATGTTTCTCTTTCCAAACCCTTTGTATCATCCTTGTGTTCTCAAACGGAGACTATGCAGGTTCCTAGAAATACCTTCCAATACACCTTTCCAAATACCTTCATCCATCTTTGCTTTCTTCACTTGTGGAAAAAAGAACATTCTATAGAAGACCAGCCAGTCCCCTTTTCTCCAAATCTCATCCCTTCCAAAATCTTGTTCCATAAACTATTCACTGTCTCCTCCTAAGTCTTTCCTCATCACTCATTCCTAAACCCATGGGCGTTTCAATTTTCTCCCATTCTTCCATCCAAACTACTCTCTCATTATTGGTTTGTAGCAAGATATAACAACTAAGCTGTAAGTATTAGTAAGGGGACTATGGAGATCTAACTGCTGCTTACAAGAATTTCAACAAATCCTACTGTTTCAGCACCATCTTTATAAAAGAAACCTGTTATCTCCAGTTTCAGAAACTTTCTAGCATTCTGAAGGCATGGTCCTTAAGGCATCCTCACTGTAGACTTAGGTTGACGTTTTCTCTGCTTTGCTTAGCCTATTTCTACTTGTTCATCTTCTTTCTTACTTCCACAATGTTATTAATACTTCCAACGTGTTAATATCTCTTCTTCTTGTGGATTCATGCCTCTTTACAAGTAACCCTTTTTATGTCAGAGTGGTGATTTGGAAGGGAACTAAACAAATTTTATATACAGATACACGGAGAAAGAAAGAAAAGGGGAGAGAGAGATGATTAATCAGAATACACCTTTATTCTTAAATTATTTTTAAAATTCCTAACATTTGGCAACATGCATCTCTCATGGTCTTTCTCCTATTTTGCTGATTCTTTCTGCAATATTAACAAAGACTGTGGGCTGTAGATCTGGAAACACACTCTAGTTATGCCTTCCACCAGCAACTAAACAGTAGGCAAGTTACTGAACCCATTTTCACTTTCGTTTACTCATTTATCAAATTAACACAATTTATGTAAAGAGTAGTATCAGTTAGAAGCTAATTAGGAAAGAAAACAAACTTGTCAGTCATTTTAACAGAGAATTTAATGTAAGAAGTTATCTTCAAAGGTGTTAGAGAAATGAATAAATGGAAAGGGGAAACAGCAATAACACAGAAACAATTAACTGCAGGAAACTGCAACCACATTTGGAGCCATGGAATCAGAGAGAAGAGGTTTGCATTGTGAGACTCTAAGGCATGCAGAAGGCACTTTACACAGCCGAACTCGGATCCCTGATGGGGAGAAATTGCCCAGCTATTGCTGGTAATTCTGAGGGCACAATACAACTAGTTCTGGGAGTGCATAAAAAAATGAAAACTGTAACAACTTGTATCTTGCTGAAACCACGCTATCAGGAAGGGTGGGAAAACTGGAAGAATCAAATGTTTTCTTCCCTCTCATCCTGAAACTCTTTTCATGTGCTTCCTGTTTTCTACCATCACAAAGCAGAGAAAACAAGGGTGGGTTTTGAAATGAAAGACACTAGTTAAATAACTGAACATTGTGTGGCTTAGAACATATTAGACCATGCAATAAAAGTTAACTCTCCCTTCTTTTCCTTTGCATCTTAGGCCCTGTTTTCCACTTATTCTGCAAGATTTCCCAGGGCAGGGGCTGGGGGGAGTTTAAAAGAAAGAATCATCTCTTAAGTTGATATAAATGGCTTAAAAATAAACTTTACTAATTTATTTTAATAACTAATCCTTAATTCTTCCAACAAGTTATTTTAACACAAATTCAATTGAAATTATTTGTAATTTGTGTTTAGTATTCACTTTGCTTCAAAACTCACAAAGGATTCTAGGAGTCACAGACTGGTTTGGGTCCCAGAAAAATTATTTCAGCTACTCTCTTGTTGTTTAGCTTATGATTTCTCAGCCTTATTTATTGTTCCATTCTTCCCACTGTGAGTTGACAGGAGAAAGAAAAAGAGAAAGATCCTCCATATCTATCTAACCTGCACAACTCTTAGTCACCTTTAAGTGCCTCTACTATTAAAAAGTGTTAACCTATCTCGGGTCTAAATGTCTTCCTATTTAAAACTTATTTCCATGCTGCTTTATCACTTATGCTTATATTTATTTTGAAAAAATAAACCCAAGCCTGCCTACATTTATTTAGTATGGATTCTCCATAGATTTCTCTCGGTAACCACCAAAGCAATTTCTCTTTCACACCTGATGCCTCATTGAGAATACTCATAAAGCTTTTTAGTAGTTTTTTCACTAGAGTATTAGAATACTGGAGTAAATTCTGAGTAACACAAGAATGAACATGATCATTTCTCCCGGCATAATTTTTTTTTTTAAAAGGAAAGCAAATGAATTACAGTGATTTGTGGAGCATAACAAAAAGACATTTAAGGAAGAAAATATCTAAAACAAATATCCTGACTCATGCACTGATAAGTGGGTATTTGGAGAAAGAGAGCACGCAGAGGTAACAGATAAAAATAACTCACACCAACAGTTTTAGGAATTCCATAGTGATGTTTAACAATTATAATTTAAGTAATTGATTCTTCTGTTCCTACCAGTAAAACCTTCTCTGTAACTGTTTACTAGTTAGTTGTTTTCTAAGTGTCCTTTTTCATATTGCTTCTAGTTGAGAACAACAGTTGTATGGTTTTTCTGAACTTGGCTTTCAAATTTCAAAGTTACCTGGTTGGGAATTGCTTTGGGGTCACTTTCAAACTTTGTCCAACTGCTCACATACTAAGAGCTCACTTTGGGTCTGCCAGTGACTCTCAATTAAAATCACCATAGGTCTCCTGAAGCTTCTTCATTCTGCCTCACATCTCAATTTGCTGAAGTAAAATGAATAAGAACACCCCTATTTGTCTTATTTGTGATTAACTGATGACACTTGTCACCTCCTCTGTGGGCTAAATATTTAATACAGAGGAAGGGAGAGTCATGAAAATCTGTTGTGCCAATGCCTCTGTAGAAAAGACCTGTAGTAACGAATCCAGTCCACATGGTACTTCTCAGCCTGATGTTGGCTACTGGAGACTAAGTATCTGTAGGCTCCTTGTACTGATTCTAGTTATTCTCTGTGATATACAGAATGTGTTTGGAAACTTATAGCAATATGCATTTTAACTTATCATCTTCTATAATATAAATTTATATTACCTGTATAGTCTTACAAATTCTGTTGGTGACTTGGTTACTTTTCTGCTACACGCATTTTTCATGGTGACATACATTTCAAAGATAATTTGGCTTTAACATTATTCCTGCTCACTTTCTCTTCCAATCATTTTAGCTAAGAGACCTATTTACATAACACCTAGTACCTTTTTTTTTTTTTTTTTTTTTTTTTTTTTTTTTTTTTTTGCCTGTTTCACTGAAAAGCCTAAATAAAAATAAAGTCTTTTCAAAACATTTTTTAGTTGGAGGATCCCTGTGATATTCAACTTTCCAATAAAATTTCCCAAGCTGTGCCGGGCTCGGTGGCTCAAGCCTGTAATCCCAGCACTTTGGGAGGCCGAGGCGGGTGGATCACGAGGTCGAGAGATCGAGACCATCTTGGTCAACATAGTGAAACCCCGTCTCTACTAAAAATACAAAAAACTAGCTGGGCGTGGTGGCGCGTGCCTGTAATCCCAGCTACTTAGGAGGCTGAGGCAGGAGAATTGCCTGAGCCCAGGAGGCGGAGGTTGCGGTGAGCCGAGATCGCGCCATTGCACTCCAGCCTGGGTAAGGAGAGCGAAACTCCGTCTCAAAAAAAAAAAAAAAAAAAAAAAAAAAAAAAAAAAAAAAAAAAATTTCCCAAGCTGACTCTATTTTGGAAAGGTGGCGGATCGTTTATAAATTAATGAATAAGGTAAAAGTCAAACATCTCAGAATCGCTACTGCAGCTTTTTCATACATAGCCAGACTTATTGTCAATCAGTAATGCTTTGAATGTTGCATCAAAACATGAAGAAA